ATCATTGCCAAAAACAAAAAATTATGCCACTATTGATTTCCATTTTTTTCAAACTCTTTTTTTCTACAGGATCATTTTCAATCATACATTCATACAATAAAACATTCTAAAGAATGGAAATCAAACTCAAACCAGGAACTTAATCACCCAAAAACTAAATTAAATTAACTTTGCTTTTCACCCATCAACGGAAAGTTCAATTTTGAACGAACGGAAAAAAACGTTGTAGCCTTAACAACCAGCATGCTACTTGCATATAATGAATTGAATATGTATTCCAAGCTGGCATCAATTATCTTCATTCATAAATTAATCGTTCGTTTCATCACATTATGGAAAAAGCTACAGTGGTACAAATGAAAACACACTGATGTACATCTATGATACATATCTCATTTATTCCAGTGACACGAGATAACTTGAGAGACGATGACAGGACGACGGAAGAACGTTTCATTTGCCACCTAAGGTAGGGAACTGGCGTGGATCTTCGATGAAAGGTGCTTTATTTTCTCCACCACCACTATATCCTCCTATGAAGCCACGTCCTTGGTCCCTCCCTCGACCACCAGGACTGTAGTACCTTTCTGCCGTGGTGGCCTTCAAGAACTTGCTGATGCCGACAGACTAAACCATTCAAAAAGTAAAAATCACCTTTCAGTAGTCTCAAAAAGAAAATTACATTATATATCAGAGTTGTCAAGTTTTAGCATTGACAGCTGCTACTCGTCCACGTGGAAGGATTGGCAGGGCAAAAACATAAAAAAGCACGGATGGAAAAAAGCTGGAAAACAACGACGCAGATCAGAACAGATCTCGCACCACCAATGGACTCTTAACAAATATGTATATACTAGGGAGTATAGATTAATAAACAATTACCTTTTTAACTCTCTCTTCTTTCTCGGTTAACTCTTTCCTCTTATCCTTTTCAGATCCCTGAAGTGCAGAATCAAATTGAAGGTAAACACATTACAGTGATTTTTACATTGAGAGATAACATGATGTAAAATATAAATTAAAATATTGAAGGCACGAAAAATTCAGCAGGGAGCGTTGATGGATTCACCAATTTGACAAATATGTCATCGGTGTTTCTCTTGTTCGCTAGCTGTTGCATGGATTCAAACTCTTTTACATCAACCTTCCTTTCCTCAGTTTTAAGAGCCTGCAGGGGATTCCTTCTCTCCTCCATGACCTTTTCATACTCTTCAAGTGTCATCTCCTGCAGATTTAAAAAACAGCAGCATCAAAAGTAGCAATAACTGCCACAGAAACAATTGGAGTTAAGAACCGAATTATGTTAAGTCCTCTGGTTCTACCTTATCCTCAGGTTCCTTCTCTTCAACTTCATCCACAGGAGTTTCCTTGTACCCTTCTGTTGCATTCTCCTCACCCACGGGCTTCTCAGCATTTAGATTTTTATCACCTTCGTCAACTTCTTCGGCCTCTCTAGAAAAGAAAAGGCAGAAGAGGAAACACCAGGTTAGCAGACACGGATCTATGGAAGGAAACAATTATTTGAGACACAGTGTATCTCATAATTTTGATGAAGTTTGATGGCCACAGGCAACATGCAATTACTCACTGGGTGGGTTCATCAGTCAGAGTTCCCCAGTTCCCATGGCCAGCTCCTTCACGTTTCATTTCATTTCTAAACATAAAATGAGTTTACGTTTCAGAATAAATGTTCAAAAACCTCTTACATAAAAATATTACCTTATCAAAACTGTTTTAAAGAACAACTTTGCAACATAAAAAAAAGATAAATTTGGTAAAGGAAGATATTTACCCTTGCCCAGTTCCACTATGGCGCTCAAATGCCCTTCGAGGCCTTCGATTTTCCCCTTCACCAACTTCGCGATTGCTAAAACCGCCTCGATGTCTGCCACGGAAAGGCACACGAGGCCCACCATAGCCATCATACCTCTCAGAAGGTTTTCTAGTATCAGTCTCTTCAGTTGGACCTTCACCACCAGAAAATCTCCTATTTCCGTATGAATTGTCATTATAGGTTGAATCTCCGCCACCACGACTACGTCCATACCCACGCCTGCCTCCACGGCCTCCTCGTGAAGAATCAGATTTTGCCTCTCTGACTATACAAATGACAAACAAGAAACAAGTATAAAATCGAGCAGATACCAAAAACATGGGTATGGACATAAAGGAACACCACATTTTGGAAAAGGAAATAGCCAATATATGCTCATTGCAGACATAAAGACTTACATGGAGAAAAAATAAAACCAGATTGTGATTTCATTAACAAGAAAAAGGGGAATATTAAGCAAGTACATTGATCAGGATAGGATTTGGGAGAAATAGCAGAAATATGAAAGAGAACAAATATTAGAAGCCGCCTCCATTCATGAAGCCAAAATTATACACACCACAGGCATGTTTCTAAAAAGCTTGGAATTTATATCCAATACGTGTCGGACGCCAAAACTCCGTTGACAGTGGCATATTCTAGCTATAGCATTTTTTATGCAGTAATAACCAAATCTCTACATTTTCAATCAGCTTATTACCACTAAGGCACTAACTGCTCAAGCGATATTGTTACCTAATGCATGAACACTTCAGTGGTCCAATATTTCAAGACACTTGAGATGGGAAAATCACCTATATATCCAGAGCATAATAAATTTTCCCCCTTCTTGCAACAAAATGTATAATAACTGCCTTCACAGCAAATGAATACAAATAAATGAAAACAAGGAAATAAATAAGAGGAACATTAAAGAAGTGTTGGGACTTTCTTATTTTCAATTGTGTAGAAATGGGTTTTATTGTTTAGTCAAGCAGAGTAAAAATTGCATTTATGTGGCAGTTTGTTACCTGACAAACAATCCACCGCAGTAAGTCCAGATTCATTTTCGTCGTGATCTATTTTTTTTTCTCCAAAAGGTTATCATCATTTTTCCCTCCAATAACCAATTGCTTTCTTCGGAGATGCGTACTGTCTTTTTCCCTTCTCCACACGTTTATCCTTTCACCCCTTCTCCAAATATTCTTCCCCCCTCACCTCTCTGTTAGATTGTTGGAAAGCTTTCTTTCTTTATTCAGTTTGATTTGTGAATTCAGTTGTCATTGAGATTCATTTTTTTGTTTACAACTATTTTAAGCTATGTCAACAAAGAGCACAACTTAGTGTGTCCATCCCCATCTGATTTATATCCAATACGTGTCGGACGCCAAAACTCCGTTGACAGTGGCATATTCTAGCTATAGCATTTTTTATGCAGTAATAACCAAATCTCTACATTTTCAATCAGCTTATTACCACTAAGGCACTAACTGCTCAAGCGATATTGTTACCTAATGCATGAACACTTCAGTGGCCCAATATTTCAAGACACTTGAGATGGGTAAATCACCTATATATCCAGAGCATAATAAATTTCCCCCCTTCTTCCAACAAAATGTATAATAACTGCCTTCACAGCAAATGAATACAAATAAATGAAAACAAGGAAATAAATAAGAGGAACATTAAAGAATTGACGCAGAAGACCATATTTAGATAACTACTATTCCTATTTTAACTAACCGTCGATCCATAAGAATAACTTTTTTTTGATAGGAATCCATAAGAATAAATAAGTGAACAACTTAAACCATCTTCTTCCTCACTACAGGGAAGTTAACAATCTAGAATAATAACAACAAAAAGTCATCCAAGGTGAACTGTTTATGAGACAAGGCATGTAACATTAAGTTACAATAGACAGAGAGTTCTGACAAACAACTTAACAGATGAATCTTATTTGTCCATGAATGGCCACCAATTTAATAAGAATGAAAACCATGTGCAATAAATTAGATATGCCTTCTGTACTCTATAGAACAATAATTTAGCCTTATTCACATTATTGTTCAGATAAATTTCATGAATTATTTTTTCGCTCTGTTGCATGCACACTTCAACTAAGGTAGCATGTCGAATAGGGCATAATGATCATTTTGCGTGACTCCGGAATATTGGAAGTCAAACAACATTGACTTTGTTACCTTAGGCCTATGTCCTTTTAAGGGTGAAACATATAACAATTCAGAGTAAGATTATCATTAGATTACCACCGGGGGAATGGGAGCTAGGGTTTTGAAAAAACTCTCAAATATAGCTTATTCTATTACTTAAATTCCCTAAGCATGAAAATGAGACTCAAAGAGTGAATTATAGTAGGAGTCATTAGAGGGATCTGATCGGTCTCACTCGACTAAAGCTCCAATAAATCAATGTCAATTTAGTCAACTTTTTTACAATTGAGATTTATTTACTAATCTCGCCTTATTCCACTAAAGGGATGGGATTGCACTCTTGGTTCAAGTGTTATTGCAAAAGCTCAACATTGTCCAATAATGATATCCTAGGATTATCACACTAACAAGTCAAACCTGTTTGACCATCCATATTTCAAAGTTGGGCAAAATACTATTATATCCTTCCTAATATATTTTAGTCTTAAAGTTTCATTTTAAAAGTCAATAAATTACAAAACATCACAAATATAGTTCAATGATCTCATCACAAATCATTGAGCTCTGATTCGATTGCTCACAAAATAAACATTCGAAGTAACAACTGTATCACATTATGTTTACGGATCCCTAAATTGTTTTGTCTCAATTCCCAAAACTTCGAGGTATTGATCTTTCAAGTTAGATCCAACTTGTCTTTAGTGTTCAGGAAAATAATATTTTGAAACATTTTTCTTGCTGAATCCCAATAGTAACATGGTTCAAAATCAGTATCATATTGAGATCAGCACTTAATAAAATCGCAGGATATCAATTTTTGTATATACTCAGTTGCACGTGCAATGGCAGAATACTAGACCATATTTTGACAACACCATTTCTTCGAATTTTCTATTTCTAATTTTACGATTCAAAAAAATAAATCAAAAAGTCCATATACTTCACAGAAATGAATAGAAATTCTCACAACAAATATAAGAAGCGATAAACAGATATAGAAGCGTCCGCGCTCACACCCATATCTGTATACTTGTAGAGATAGAGATTGAGAGAGGGAGAGCTGACCAGCCTGAGAAGGGGGAAGAGGCTTGGAGGGAAGCTGAGCCGCCGCCGGTTTGTTCTGCTGCTGCGTCTGCTGCTTAATCGCCGGCTTACCCGATGAAGCCGAGACTTTCTTGGGCTGTTGTGAGGCAATCAGCTCCAATGGATTCTCCGCATCATCGTCCCCCAGTAAATCAAACGGGTTTACTGTCGCCATTTCTCCCTCGCGACACCAAAAGAAAAACCCCTTGCTTTTGAGATGAACCCCAAAAATAATAACCCCTATTTTACCTCATTCATTATTGATTAGTGAACCAGAGAAGTCAAAGAAACAAGACGACAAGAGAGTGTGTGTGATCCGGTGAAAATCCCTGTCCACCGCAATTTTATTGTTGTTTATTATTTCCATGGAGCTCGTATCGTCACTACTGTGAGCTTTCTCTATTTTCGTGTGTATTTTTATTTCTAGTGTGATACGGGCATATTATGTTTGGGGTAACCGAGGAATGGATTATGAGCCTGTTTGAGACACTTTTTTTTTTTTTTTTGTCTTTGAAAAATTGATTTTTTAACTGTTATTTTACTATTTCAATCCTCATATTTGACTTATTCTCTCACAGGTGGACTGCATTTTTCTCTTAACAATCAAAAAATCAATTCTCAAAATCACTCCCAAACAGTAAAAAATAATAATAATAATGCGATCTAATATCTATGACTAATGATGTTAGAAAAATGATCATACTTTAATAAATTTAGTTAAATAAATTATGTGATATTATAATTAAGTGAACTTATTATTTAATATCATACAGTTGACATTTAGATTGATATTTGACATCAATGATACTGAATAGTATTAGTTGCGAAAAAAAAAGTTCGAGTCAAATTGAATCCAACTGTGATTTTGAAATTTTGAAATTGGATTTTCATGGATTAGACGTATCAAAATCAAATCAAATTGTTTGGAAAAAATTCCATTTAGTTTTCAAAAGTTAAAATTTATTTTCAATTAAATTGAATCATTAATTCATTTTAAAAAAAAAATTTACTTATTTTAGTATTGTAGCCTGTTTATTTAGAAGGTTTCTATATAAATGTTGCAGTGTAATTTTAAATCAATATATTTAA